TTATTAAAATTTTAGTACACAAACTGGCCTAAAATTGAGAGAATGTTGTGGCACACACAAGAAAATTAACCTCAAGAATAAATACACCATAACTTTAAAAAAATAAATCAGGAGCATACAACTCAAGCACAGGGTAACTTTATACGGCCTGTGCATGCATGATATCACTATCTGTAACATAGTTCTATATCTGCATATTTATCGTCTACTATATAAATGATAATTAAGTTTAAAAGTTCAATACTTATTTGACTGAATAAGAGGCTCGCCCATAGTTTCAGATTTTCATTGTCAATCAGTTTTGATAACGAAAATTAAATCAATACAATGAAATAAAATTCAAAGCACGGGTTTGTTAACCGTAATGGGATATCTGTTTCACAGATGACGACAAATACAATTGTGTTACCACAATCTCGTCCTCTTTTCTACGATTGTAAGATCACCGGATGGAACTTGTCACCGAATTTTTACTAACAACTAGCAACACGACGGAGAAGGACAAGGACCTGATTGCCTTTTCGGACCACCTCAGATCACCCCGTTTCTTGTCACAATCGTGATGCTCCGTCTTTAGAAGGTTCTATTCTAGTGTTCTGTAGACTGTTTTTTGGTCTTTTTGTTACACTAGATTTGTTTTTCTTCTATCAGAAAAAAAGCCAAATATATTGATCTCCGCTTTGTAAGGCGCTTCTCTAGAAACATTCATTACCGTGGACAAAAAAGAAGATTATACATGTATATTGATCAAACATTGTTCGATACACATTACAAAAAAAATTAAGTTATAAAGAATCAGCTGGCATTCTTGATCTCCACTCTTTAACTTTGAAAAGTAATTTAACTTTTTTCAGATATAGAAATGGAATGATGGAACAGTTTGAGTTCAAAACCTTAGGACAGATGCAAATAACAGACAATGTGACTGTGTTTCAGCACCGGTCAATCATGCATTAACAAAGCTTAATGTGGAATTATAATTCTTGAAGAAATTGATATTGTCATTTGGTCTAAGATGGAAAGTTGTCTCATTGGCAATCAAACCACATCTTCTTATTTTATAAATAATGGCCAAATCCTCATTGGAGTCATTGCGCATTAATGACGATTTTACCAATTGTTTACGTTTTTGTCTATTATATAAACAACTAAAAAAGAAAGAAAGAATCGTAAAAGGAAAAATGATCAGCAAGAAAAGATGGACAAATCAATCTGATGGTATAAATCTTCAGTCGACTACTTATTAGAGCTTAACAAAAAAAAATAAACATTTTGTCATGAATTATATTATAATCTACAATGTTGTCGATTTATGACATGTACATAGACCTAGGTAGGCGACACAGGCTCTGTAAGACCCCTGGTTACATACTATTTCCCTTTTCTCTTTTACATCCTTAGCTTTCAAATATCTGGCTTTGAGCGTTCCTGATGAAGATAATTCTAGCAAAGCAATTCCCCGGGGGTATTATCAGCTCAGTAGTCAATACTGACATGATTTATAACAAAGCTTCCTAAAATTATTCGTTTCTGAATTATAAAATTATCGAGAAACTAAGGTTTCAACTCCATCAGACAAATTTGTCTATTATGTTTAGATCATTTTTGTATATAGCTCTTCAATTGTTTCGGTTCTTATACATCATTGGCTTTCTATTAGTCGGATTTGAGCGTTCCTGATGACGGTAAATCCAAAAAACTCTCCCGACGCATGACATTTATTCAGTATAGTTTTCATATTTTAACTCTATTTTATGATTGATGAAATACGCAAGGCAATCACACAAGGGGAGAAGGTACCGAAAGAAAAAAATGTCGAAGAAAAAAAGACAGCATCATTGCCAAAACAAAACCTATGAAAAAATCCGTTTCCTGCTCCACTGGTGAAACGCGTCGTGTTACTCTCGTTAAAATACGTTAATAAGTTATATCAGGTGATAAGATATCATACAACGATAGATTGGTGATTGCCTTTTGGTAAACCTGACTTAATTACCATGTAAATCGTATAACGGTATATGTACATTTTCTGACCCTAGCCCTTGACTGAACGGAAAGGTTTGAAATATCAACAAAGTTTGTTTTGGGAGAAAGGATAGACAAGCCTGTTACAAAAAAGTATAACAAAGATATTGAAATCAAAGGCAAATTACTAAATAACTGAACAAGTGAAAAACAACTGCCATATCCCTGACAGGCATTTTTACGAAGAAAATGATGGGTTACACCTGGTTTTATAGTTGTCCAACCTCCCATTTGTATGACAGTTGTTTATAGTTCGTTTATAAGCAAAACAATACACCACTAAAAAGTAAAACAAAAATATCGACCTCAAGTCAATAAAAACTCAAATCAAACGTTTTCGCCCCAAAGGAACGAAAGGCATATAACGGACTTGGTTCATGCATTTACCGAGAAAAATTGTGGTTTAAACCTGGTTATATAGCTAGTAAAACCTCCCACTTGTATAAAAAATAAAAACAACATTTTAAATAATTTCATGCGTCCGAAGCACTTTTCGGAATTTAACTTCACCTTGAACGCTCAAAGCCGAATATTTGAAAGCCGAGAATGTATTAATTTGATAACAATCTGGCAAGAATTGTACACACGAGAGCGCTTAGGCCAAGCCAAATTAATACCTCGTTCGTCGGATCCCCCGCGTGTTGTGAAAGGTCGACGACAAAAAAGTCCTTTTTTAAAAAACCCGCGTCCAGTACGGAGTCGCGCGCGACCGTCTCCTAATTTATGTAACAAAATGTCAATCACTTGTACGTTTGAAAGCAACGCCAGTTGACATTAAAAACGATCTACATCTAACAATCACAACGTTATTAAGGCCAAATACAATATGAAAATTCTAAACGTAAGACATGAGTGGACTATTTGTAGTTACACTGGTAATGCAGACAAAGATCTTACTGGCAAAGCCCACAGTGAAATGTGTTTGGACAATTCTGTTACCGATACCCGACCGTGCAAGACCCTCATGGGTAGTCAAGGTCGTTTAAAACAACCCTCATCGTCTTTTTACCGATTTGTTTTGAAGTGTTCCGTGCACGACGACAAAGCACAAACGCCACCGAATTGAAAGATTCAAATTTTGGCAACATAACATCCATCAGGATAAATAGAAATCCCGAAGATGATACATTGAAATGGCACGGCAATGAAACTATTACATCTTTTATTTTTTATCTTTTAGAATAAAAGGGTTTTCTTCTTGAATCTTTTATTTATATATATCTAGTATCATTACAAAATTATAAAGCATGAAATTTGACAAGAAAGTGTTTGTGGTAATTGAATATAACACATCAATTCAACTTTACAATTTACAAATTATTCTAAAAACAGGAATTTGTATGATTGTCAATGAGACAAACTTTCCACCAGTGACTAAATATGTTGAGGTTTTTAACCAGTAAAGTTCACGGTATGGCCTTCAATACAGAGCTATATTCCCATATACATAAAGATTTAGTGGCTTTTAAATTCTCCAGCAAAGCAATGACTAAGGAGTAAGAACACTATTGTTTTTCTCTAATTAGTTTTTGTTAAATTGGCAGTAAAAAAAACTGAGCAGATTTTATCTTTGTTTCAAATAAAGAAATATTTGAAATGAGTAAAGTTTTATCCTGTTCAGTACTACAGTGAAAATTTCACATAACATTTCATTGCAAATAAGATAATAACCATCACCGGAAGTGCAACAATCAAATTTAACACCCTTTGTTTCTTTTCACAAACGTTAGTAACAATGTCACTTCAAAGTTTTCAAAATATTTTATAAAAAAAACAAATAAAAAAGAATGGTGCTTTGAAACACCCAAGATATACATGTATGTTTATGACTCAGATTATTTTTTGCAATGAAATGCAGGGTTAACATCCAGTAAAATTTTTCCGACCCTTTTTCGTATGAAACCGGATGTGACGTACTATGATTTGTTGGTATTACACCCTAAATGGAATGTATGGAAATGTCCCTTTTGTTAAGTTAGTATAAAGCATCTGGTGTGATGCATTTAAATACAAAGTAGTATAAATTGGTGTGGTGTTTGAAAGTCATTCCTTTATATATAGATAACTATACATATTTGTGAATTTATAAAGGAGAGACCTTCAAACACCACACCAATTTATACAAAGTAGTATAAATTGGTGTTATGTTTGAAGGTCATTCCTTTATAAATTCACAAATATGTGTAGTTGTATAAAAAGGCTTTATGCATAAATATATATGCTTTTAACTGTGCGTATTGCTGTGTTTTTGTTTATTTTACATTGGCTAGAGGTATAGGGGGAGGGTTGAGATCTCACTAAACATGTTTAACCCCGCCGCATTTTTTGCGCCTGTCCCAAGTCAGGAGCCTTTGTTAGTCTTGTATGTTTTTTTAATTTTAGTTCATTTATATGTTTCGGAGTTTAGTGTGACGTCCATTTACACTGAACTAGTACACATTTTTGTTTTGGGGCCAGCTAAAGCACGTCTCCGGTGCGGGATTGTCTAGCTGTGTTGAAGACCCATTGGTGGCCTTGGGCTGTTTTCTGCTCTTTGGTCAGGTTGTTGTTTCTTTGACACATTCCCCATTTCCATTCTCAATTTTATTTGCATACTTTTATTTGAATTAGCTTACCATTCTATATGTAACTGTCCCAGGTCAGGAGCCTATAGATCACTGGTTGTCACTGGTTGTCATGGATTTCTGCCTGTTCATAGCTGTTGCACTTTTTCAGGTTCAGCATGGACCTTTATTTGAGCAGACTACACGGAGTTGTAGATTTTGCTACTAGTTGATCATTTTTGTACTGGAAATGTTGTGAAGCTTCAACAGGGTGTAGGCGAACAAATTTAGAAGCAAAGTAGGGTAGTATAAGAACAAGGGTATGAGATATATAAAAACATGAAGCACCAAAACTGTGTAAATTTCTGATCGCTCGCTTGCATAAAATGCTTTTCATAGATTTTTATTTCATATTATCAACATTTGGGAATATCTTCTTGCAACGAGACATTTTATTTCATATTGTCAAACATTTGGGAATATTTTCTTGCAAGGCCACTGACAGGTTCACCGATCATGTTATGTGAAATTCCCAAAAATTTCACAGTATAAACCAAATCAAAAAAATTTAAATGTCTACTATCTTGAAAATATTTTAGTTGCACAGTATTGCCATCACGACAAATCTGAACAGGGTTACAATCTTTGACTGTTTGGTTTAACTGATACATAGAACGTCTGCAGGATGTTAAGTCACGTAAATGGTAATAGCATAAAAAACTCAGGAAATGTGCAAATGGTCTTGGATGAATGATGCGATTCTCCTTAGTCATTATAACTTGTTGCAGTTCAAAAGGAATCATTTGTGAGTTATCACTAAATCTCAGCTCTTGTATTGTAAATGCCTTTAAAACAGTTAAAATATTTTCGTGTTTTGTCAAATTGAGCATTAACTGTTGGTTCCGATTGAAACCGAGCCAGACACCGTTTGGAGCTTCTAATTTTTCATCGGTGTATTTCGAGAAAACATAATCTATCAGCAAGATCGACACCATGTATTTTTTATGATTGTAGAAAAAAGAGGCTAACAACAACCACCCAGATACAGCATCTGAGTGCACGCTTATCAATAGTTGACTGATATTACGTCTGTATGTAAAATATTTTTGCTTATTATGTTTGCTGTGAATTCGTGAATGCTGTGATTCACAGGTGTTCGCATACGATAGAAACAAAGTAAAAAGATCTCTCGATAAAGAGCTCCTAGAATGATACAGGAAATATCTCAATAGACAAAATATATTTCCATGCTTTGATGAAGCAAGGCCACTTGAAAAGATTTTCATGATTTCCGATACAATGCTGAAGGATCCATCAAATATTCCGGTGACATATCTTCGATAATCATTCAAAGTTTTTGATGACGAGAAACATTTGATATCTTGGTTGTATGCATCTTTAAGGAGCTTCAGTAAGGTCACCTTATTTTGTTCGTTGAACCGCAAATAGAATAAATTATTGTCAGGTATGAAAAAGTGAAGTAATGTTGAGTATTTGACACAGTATAAAAGTCTTCGTAAGCACACCTTGAAGCAGGATATTATATTGTATGGGGTCCAGATAGATAAATCGTATTCTTCTGAAATCCAAAACATGAGCGTTTTCAAGAAATACGAACATAGTAAACCTTTTAAATCTTCATATTTCTCTATAATTTCTTTTAAAAAGATTTTTAACAATGCATAGCATAGAAGTTGGGTATGGTTGAATGAAAAGATAAGAATTTTCTCTGGTACGGAAAATGATATTCGCCATTGAAGGTTTTCAATGCTAGATTCTTTGCATCCAATGGGAACAAATAAAACGCCACATTTGATTATTTTTTCAATGTTGTCTGCGCTAGGCCATGCTGCACGTGGTCTATGGATCCATGGGTGTGCCTGAGATATCCATTTGGCACATTTTAGACAATGTGCAAAATCATAACGTTCATTATAATCTGATATACAAGGACCATGAATTGTGTTGAACTTTGGTGCAGCTTGCCTTATCATAGTAAGGTTATGTTCTTTGTACAATTCACTTGATAAGAGACTCTTAGATCCTTCAAAATGTAAGAAACGTTTAAATATTCCAGTGTTATCTTCTATACGGTTGTTATCTATAAGTAAACGCAGTTTTGAAAAGCAATGTGGTGCATCTTCTGTATCCATTATAAGGACTACCTTCCAGCCTTGCACAACTTCACTTTCGGATTCATAAACTTCAAAACGCATATCAATTAACATAATGTCTACATCACTTCCACTCAAATTCAGACCTTCGGCTTTACTTCCACTGCTTATTTCGGGAAAAAGTCTAAATGCATTACGTTTTTGTGGGTGGTTGTGGATATCGCAAATAATGAAACTCAGTCGTCTAGTCCGTACATCCACTTGTGTTCCAATTTTGTGACATAAGTATTTTTAAAACAGCAATGACTCTTTTTTACTATCAGCCATGTTCTTTAATGGTTGTGTGTTCCTGTCAAAGATAAACAACGATAATGTGACATTCTTTGAGTAAGAACATTGGCTTAATCTACAAAAGTCTGATTACCGTTTTTAACCGACTGTAACCCTAAGCTTCTACTCAGGAAACAAAAGGCTAGATCTTTGCTAAACAGATACTGTTGTCGTTTGTTACTTTATATTGTATTTATATTTCGGTTATTGTTTGTTCATAAATCTGTCCGTTTGTTTTTTCGTTTGAGCTGAGAACAAAGTCAGATCTATCATGACTTGAGCTAAACACAGATGAAGGGATAATTAAATGAATTAATCACTTTATTTTTATTCTACTCTAACGCCTGACTCAGCGGGGAACAATTTCTTGAATGTCCTCCTCTCGTGTTGAGTAATCAAAAATCAAGAATCTGAAAAGAGAACAATTCAAAATACAATTATACAAAAGAAAAAGATGTTAATTTCGAATAAAAATTAAAAGAGAATAATTTAAATTTAATATGAATAATTTGAAAGACAATACAAACATACTGCCCTTGGATGAAGGTGTTAGGGTAGATTAACACACGAGGGAACAAATTATCACCCAAGACGAAGTACTAGTCGTGGATGATATTTTTTTTTCACCGAGTGCGTAAATCACCCTTAAACCTTCATCCCAGGGCAGTATGTTTCTTATTATACTGAATGCCTTATGGTTCAAGCGTGCGCTATGTTATTAGGACAGATATAAAAAAAATTAAGTCATAAATTAAGTTTACTTATAACAACAACAAAACGACGGAAATGATGTAGAAATAAGAATAGGTAAACCTCGGCCTGTGCAAGTGTTAATTGTTCCAGATAGGCATTTCGGGCTCAGCGAATGTTAATTTGAGGCATTAATACCCGTTGCTAATATTATCACATGTTGTTATGGTTTGGCGGGGCTTATGAAAGGTTAGTGAAAATTAACATATGCCGCGTGTCCAATGAAATGAATGGATACTTAATTTGCATAAAGTATAATAATAATAAATTAAATAAAGCATGGTCAAAAGGATGATAGAGCAGATGTTTCCTTTTGAACATCATTATAAAGCTTGACTTCGGGTTTACAATCTCCTCTACCTACACCTTGACTTTATATGTTTTGTTTATTTTAGCCCTGACTACAGTGTGTTAAGCACTACACATGGTTTAAGTTTCTAAATGTATCACTTATACCTATAACAATTTAATGCATTAGGTCTCACTTTGTGTCATATAACAAGTAATAAGGGAACTGAAACCAAAATAAGAGTATCCGACATTGAAATAAAAATATAAGTTAAACTTATGAAAACTTATGAAAAAAATGAAAAACAATCCATCTATTTCCGTAAAAAAAATCCCACCAACACATCAAAACAAAAGCGGATGTAATTGATGAAATAGCGAAGGGTCTGGATGGGGTTTACAGAATAGAGAATAATGGGCAATAAGTGCAGAATAATGGGCAAAATATATAAAGAATTGAGAAAAGTAGGGCAAACAAAATAAGGAATAGGGAATAATGCGGTACTAAAATATAATAAATAGAGAATAATGGCAAAAAAATATAAAAAATAGAGAAAAATGACTTAAAAATTAAAGAATACAGAAATGAAGGACCCCCATCCGGACCCTCCTTTATTGAAAGGTTGAAATTGTACATTTTCATTTTAAATTATATTGTACTTTCCTGGTTTCGTTTCCTTGACTAGTTCTAATCTTTCTCGTTGAACTAAATATTTCCTAGTTTTCCTAATCCTGGTTTCATAACGTTTATTCTGAACAATTTTAAAATCATAGTTTTATTGTGCTTATCATAATGGATTTACCCTTTCACAATACCAATTGCTAAAATGTTTTACCAAAATTGCAGTTTGCATTTATCTATACAAAATAAATTGATCAACATAGTAAAACAGTTTAGCTCATTGCTAGTGAAAGGTTGTTAGTCTGAAGCAAATGTAGCGTATCAAATATTATACTTACAACCATAAATGACTTGAATTCTACATCTGTTATTGAAACTGTATAGTTTTATTTCTATACAAGTATATCAATTGTAAAGACATATGAAAGGTAATATAGTAATTTTTGAATTGCTATAATATTAATGTCCCATTTAAAGTTTTTAAATGATCTCTTTTAAAATGTAAATTTTCTTTAAATGTTACAGACTTGTCTTTCAATCAATATTAAAACTCTGAAAGAAATATGTTTTTCTCTATAATATGTTTTCTTGAAGTTTCAAAGGGAAATAAGAGCCCAATCACTTGTTCATGTGAAAATAGATAATTCATAGATATCAGATTATCTCCCATGGAATCTTATTGACAGCATTATATTTACTTCTCACATACTTTAATGAATATTGCATACTTTAATTCAACATGTTTTCTGTTTTTAGAAATATATAAAACATTTTGAAAAGAAAAAGTGTGTAATCTGTAGACTTGACAATTGTATGGCAATTCCAAAATGACTACCTTACCTTCATATGACTTTACAAATTGATATATAATTTAAAAAATACATCTACATTATTTTAATGACAGATGTGAAATTGAAGTTGGATAGGATTTTAAGTATATTTTTGTATGACACTGCACTTACTTCATACTTACAACCTTTCACTAGCTACGAAAACTGTATATCCAGTTGATCAGTTTGTAGAGATGAATTTAAACTGCAATTTGATAAATATTTATTCAATTATTGGTATTGTAAAAGTGCAAAACCTTAATGATAAGCACTGTATAACATCAATGTGTAAAAAGTGTTATTAATTTACAATCATTTTGATGCAAACAATGCATATATTAACTCAGGTAGCTTATATTTTTCTTTAATGTATAGACCTTTACGATAATAAAAATAAACGCTTCTACGTACGTACATAATACATAAAAAAGATAACTAAAATCACCAAAAGTATTGGATATCACAAAAACCCACATAAATAACCAACATCCTACCCAACACAGACGTACAAATGACAACAACAACACATTGGTCAGATTGCCTGGCTTGGTACATTCATAAAAATAATCCGGCATAAAAGTAGCTTTACAAACACGGACATCTCTCCATTGACAATTTAGACTTTATTTCTTAAAAGTAAAACAAGCAATAAAAACATAATTGCATCTATCATCTTGACGACCACTAATTTGAAAAAGGAAATGAAAAAGTGGCACATAATTTAGAAAGTAGGGTCCAAAATGTGCTCGCTACTACAGAAAGTTAGCTAAGGTAACTATAGAAAATAAACGGAAAAAACAGAAACAAGACTCTTAATTTTGAATGTTGTGCTACAATGCTCTTCAACTTTATTTGGCATTTTCAACTTTATTTATTCGAGCGTCACTGATGAGTCTTTTGTAGACGAAACGCGCGACTGGCGTACAAAATTTCAATCCTGGTATCTATGATGAGTTTATTATTAACAGGTTGCACGAAGGCTCACCTTAAAATTGAATTGAAATTGGCAGTATTTGTGAGAGGCCAGTACGTATGTAAAATGATCAGATCATAGGAAGACAGATTTTCTAGTTTAAGTATATCATTTTAAAGTGTTTTAGTTCTATTAACAACATTCAGTTTATATTAATGTCATACAATAAATAAAAACGTATTGAACTGCTACAGGTAACTGTATATATATGAGACCACTTACGCCACTATTTTGACACATATTTTCTTATTTTTATATGAATGAATGGAAATGTTGGGTATATATTTATGAGGCAGCAATTCAATCAGTACTAACCAAAAATATTGAACAAAGACAACAAGAAAACATCAAGAGAGCAATATACAGTCTTCAAAGATAGACAGGTGTCTATACAATATATACACCTATATATATCGCCCCGAGATTATGACTGGTATCGACTATTGCAATGAGTCGCATAAATAGGAATAAAAAGAAAGTGTGGTTGACGACATTGATACAGTAACCCATAGTGAAAAAAATGCAGAAGACATTTAAAGGGTGTCAATTATAGGCAAGTTGTTCCTGAAGGGAAATTAATTAACACAAGACCATTTGGAACAACTCGGCAGATCACCGTGAACTGCCGAGGTTTGTCAATTGAATAAAAGACAGCATTGCCGTAGTTCTTGATTCCGGGCAGACAGGCAATGCTCCTGACTTTAGACCAACATATTAACATGAGGCGAGGTTCCTGACTTAGTACAGGAACATGAAAATGTGACGAAGTTGAAATAGTTTTTTGTTATAGATCTCAACACTCTGATAGCTTACTAGTCGTTATAATTTGAAATACAAAAGTTACATACTGATCGTGAAAGAGGATTTGGGTGGGGTTTATAAAAAAAAAAAGAAAAACAGGCAAACAAATTTAGAATGGAGAAAAATGGTCCAAAAAACTACAGTATAAGGAACAATAGGGTTCTTAAATATACAGTATAGAGAATAATAGACAAATTAAATAAAGAAAAGAGAAAAATGACCTGAAAAAATATAGTACACACCCCCATCCAAACCCTCATAAAAGAACGTACAATATAAATGATATAAGAAAATGTAAAGCACCCAACTCTATTCATAGGGTTATATCATCCTGAACATGAAGGAAATATTTGTCATTGGACGTTAAGCAAACAACAATGAATCAATCCAATGGGTATATTTAGCAGATTAAATCATTGTATAATAAATATGAAAAAACAACAAGTAATTGTACAATAAATGCAAAAATTAACAATAGCGCATCTAATACTGCCTGCAGTCACAGAAGTATGCACCAAATACTTTTTTTTTGTAATCGTGCTGACCTTCATTCTAATATCCGTGACTGTACTATTAACAGGACAATCTATTTCTCCTTATTTACAAATTGAAGAGGATTAAGAACTTGCTAAAAATTTAATACTTTGCCAGAAAAAATACATATCCGCTTGCCTGTTTTTTAGATAAAGTTAACCATTTGACAAATTTATCGTCGGAATTGTTTTGACTTTTGTTATGTCATGGCCTCTTAGAGTTTTCTATACGCTATGGGTTACATGTAGCTCATTGTTGAATGCCGTAAGGTGACATACAAATGTTCGCATTTACGTAATTTAGTGTCTAGTTGATAGTTGTCTCATCAGCAATTATACAATATCTTCCTATTTCATTCGGAAAGGGCTTGAATCATCATACCGGTTCTCAGCACAAAAACAAATAAAAAGAAAAGACACAAATTACAGAACTAAGAGTCTTTTGTTAGTTTATTGTTGAGTTGGGTCGCTGTCTCATTGAAGTATATCCCACTTTTACTTTTGATTGCAAAATCATTTTATTGAAAAACATTACCAGTATATTAACATTTAGATGTGTTTTGCATTATTCCTTGATTATTTATCTTATAAAGTCTTAAATCATATTTCTGAAAATCTTTACCAGTATATTTTGAGTTAGATGTATTCACCAAAGTTTCTGCGTAAGGAACGATATAAATACTTAAATATTTTTTTTATAAAATCCTTACCAGTATATTTACAATTAGATGTGTTCTCCATTCTCCCTGAATTATTTATCTTATCAACACCTAAATCATATTACTGGAAATCCTTATCAATATATTTTGCATCAAAGTTTGTTGATTAGTTATCTTATAAACTCTTAAAATCACACTTCTTTATACTGCCTAACATGTGAAATTTGGGGGATTATAAATGCTTGCACCCGGCAAATGATCTATTCATGTTAGTAATTGAATACTTAGTGTCAGATGGTTAGATAATCATGTATAATAGTGATATGACTATACGGGTTTCCAGGAAAGTTCCGACTTTGACTACATACATGAACGAGAAAAATAAAGGTTTCGGTTTTGTAATGACTATTTTATATTATTGTGTAGCAACATAGTTTTTAAGAGTGTCAAAAAAAGTTCACGTGCAATATTCTATGATATTGCAATAGTACAAATATAGCTGGAATATGAATCGTAGTTATCACGGTAGATATAGTGTCCGGCTGAGATCGTAATTGAATACTTAGTGTCATATGGTTTGATAATCATATATAACAGTGATCTTACTATACAGGTTTATAATAAATTCTGATCTAAACTACACATGTTTACGAGGAAAAATTAAGATTTCGCTTTTGTAGATAAATGACTATTAAATATTAATGTCATGCAGCCTATTTCTTTAAGAGCGTAAAGAAATTTCAGCCTGCAATATTCTATGGTATTGCAACAGTACAAATATAGCTTCAATTTGTTTTGGAAAATCTGAACAGGTGTGTTTCATCTACAGCAACCATAACTTAAACTTGTAAGACTTTTGCATTTTGTATTTTTCAAGTTGGAAATTGTAAGGTATACAAGCTAACTAAAGATGCTCTGTATTTGACATTATCTTGATTCAAAATGTTGACGTAGACAACTGAAAAAAATTCTCTGAATACAGGCACAAGGAGGAGGTAAAACGATCTGTATTGTACTGAATGGAATATGTATTGTAATTATCACAAAACAAAAACAAGAACAATTTCAGAAAAAGGATTACTGGAAGGTTTTGCATTTACATTGAAAATAAAGAAATTCTCACAATCGTAACTACTCAGCCATTCTCACAATCGTAACTACTGGCCATTCTCACAATCATAACTACTCGGCTATTCTCAAAATCGTAACTTCTCGGCCATTCTCACAATCGTAACTACTCGGCAATTCTCACAATCGTAACTACTCGGCCATTCTCACAATCGTAACTACTCGATCATTCTCACAATCGTAACTTCTCATCCATTCTCACAATCGTATTTACTCGGCCTTTCTCACAATCGTAACTACTCGGCAATTCTCACAATCGTAACTACTTGGCCATTCTCACAATCGTAACTACTCGGTCATTCCCACAATCATACCTACACGGCCATTCTCATTCTTACAATCGTAACTACCCGGCCATTTTTACAATCGTATTCACTCGGCCATTGTCACAATCGTATTTACTCGCCAGCTATTCTCACAATCGTAACTACTCGGCCATTCTCACAATGGTAACTACTCGGCCAATCTCACAATCGTAGCTACTGGACCATTCTCATTATTACAATCGTATTCACTCGGCCATTGTCACAATCGTATTTACTCGCCAGCCATTCTCACAATCATAACTACTCGGCCATTCTCACAATCGTAACTACTCGTTTTTTCTCACAATCGTAACTACTCGGCCATTCTTGGTTACGATTTTCTATTAGTTTTCCTATTTAACCAAATGGTCGTTCGATAAATCTGATTGCAAATTTATTTGCTGCAACTCATGGGTCGATGCCACTGCTGGTGGAGTTTTAATTCCCCGAGGGTATCACCAGCCCAGTAGTCAGCACTTCTGTGCTGACATGAACTATCATTGATATGGTCATATTTATAAATTAAGCGTTTACAAAACTTTTGAATTTTTGAAATACTAAGGCTTTTCTACCTCAGGAATAGATTACCTTAGCTGTATTTGGCAAAACATTTAGGAATTTTGGTCCTCAATGCTCTTCAACTTCGTACTTTATTTGGCGTTTTTAACTTTTTTGGATTCGAGCGTCACTGATGAGTCTTTTATAGACGAAACGCGCGTCTGGCGTAAATACAAAATTTAATCCTGGTATCTATGATGAGTTTATTCATATAAAGACTTTTTCTCAAACAAGAAAGGTAAATATGCTAGATATACTTACTGGAGGTGTGATGAAATGATTAAAGTCATACATTTTCTCCTTGACAACATTCATGTACGTTTTGGCAATAGAATTATCGACAAATTGTAGGTTTTCCTATGGGAACCAATTGTGCCCCTTTAATAGCAGACTTGTTCCTGCACTGTTATGAATCACAGTGTATGGCAAACTCAGTTAAGACCCGTCTAAATTCCATTTGATTGATAAATTCAAAAACACTTACCGTTATCTTGATGATATTTTTTCGTTAAATAATGAAGAATTCTCTAAATATACTGCCGAAACCTACCCACAGGAACTTACCTTAAATAAATCAAATATTAACAGCAATAAGTGTCTTTTCCTAGATTTAGACATTTCAATTTTACTCCAGAAACTATACACAAAAATTTACTACAAAAGGAATGATTTTTCTTTCCCTATTGTTAATTTTTCTTTTTTGGACGGTGATGTTCCTCTGGCACCATATTACGTTGTTTATATATATATATCTCAACTCGTTCGTTATGCTCGTGTCTGTAGTGACGTTTTGGATTTCAATGAGCGTAATCTATGTATTACTGGTAAATTATTAGGTCAGGGATTTCATTACCACAAATTACTTAAAACTTTTACTAAGTTCTTCCATAGAAACAAAGATTTGGTTTGCAAATTTGGCTTGACCTGTAGAAAACTTATTTCAAACGGAATAGCCCATCCTAAATTTTATGGTTTTGTTGTTAACAGAGCCCGGAAATTTAGATACGATCCGGGTAAACTTATAAATCCTTTAAATAAACTTATTCTAAAAGGTTACCTATTCAACAATGTAATTAAATCTTTGAATATTGTTTTTATTAGTATAAATATTGATTTTGTTATCAGTAAATTAAAACCATACTAAATATTACACATATGTACTTTCACAGTACAACAATCTGTCGATACCTATATTATGGCATTACACAAGGTCATGTTTTTCTATGACTCTTAATGACGTCTTTACACTTAATCCATTGGATGTTGGATGTGTACTGATTGATATTTTAGTCTTAGATACATGATTTTTTGCATTAGTTGTTATTGGCTTTGAACTAGCTGTCAGAAACTGCGAGCACTCTCAGATCTGTACTTAGTGTCGTTTTGTTGTTAGGGATGAGGGATGAATATATACGATGCCACGTCCTGTCTGTGTTTTTGTTTGAAGTTTTTCTTGATCTAATGAGTTAATAGATATAAGACGATGTGGTATGAGTGCCAATGATACAACTCTCCATCCAAGTCAAAATTTATAAAAGTAAACCATTTTAGGTCAAAGTACGGTCTTCAACACGGATCCTTGGCTCACACAGAACAGCAAGCTATAAAGGGCCCCAACAATTACTAGTGTAAAACCATTCATCGATCTGATGAGCTAAGCCTTTTACAACTGAATTTTACAGTTTGTTCTTATGTTGTGCTGTTTCATCACTGTACCAGATTAGGGGAAGGGTTGAGCGCTGGTACTCTCATATCTGTTCTTAGTGTATTTTTTGTTGTTTGGGATGAGGGATGATATATACCCTGCCACGTCATGTCTGTTTTTGTTTGATGTTTTTTTTTTGTATCGATCTGATGAGTTAAGCCTTTTACAACTGATTTTTATAGTTTGTTCTTATGTTGTGCTGTTTCACCACTGTACCAGGTCAGAGGGAGGGTTGAGCGCTCACAAACATGTTTAACCCCGCCACATTGCTTTTGGCCTGTCCCAAGTCAAGAGCTTGTAGTTCAGTGGTTGTCGTTGGTTGACGTCTGTCATATTTGTTGTTCGTAAATAATTTTGTTATAAATTAGGCCGTTTGTTTTCTCAATTGAATTGTTTCATATTTTTCATGTCGGGGCCTTTTATAGCCGACTATACGGTATGGATTTTTCTCATTGTTGAAGTCGTACGATTGCCTATAACTGCTTACATCCATTTTATTTGATCTTTGGTAATCATAACACATCTCCTTATTTTTATACTAGTTGGTAACTTAAAAGGTAAAATTTCATTCGTATCTCAGTTGCAATAATATGTTGTAAATAAAATTAAACCTTTGCCTTTAGAGTCACATTGATATATATTTTGTCTCATTGGCAATCATTCTGCACCTTTTTTTTTAAACTAGAGTTATATCATACCGTTCGCTGTCTTTAGTTCCGGTTACATTTTTTTTCGAGGGGTTACAATCTGCTCTACCACCCTTTCAGCCATGTATTATTTGATTTATTATCGAATGTTCTGTCATTATTGACTTTTAAATTTTAAATTCAAAGTATTAAACTATGACTTCGTGTACATAACAACGTTAAAGTCATTAGAAAAGTAACAAAGATAAAGCAATATGTATTTTGTTTATGTCAACCATCTTTTCAAAAGGCCTGAGGCCACAATGTAGAATTTGGGCAACGTCTTTAAAATCATTGATGTAAATTCAATTCTTTGTTTTTTAAACTATCGATTTTTGATTGGTCTGCACGAGGGTATGACATTGAAAAAGTTGTCTCCAGCTTGGAATAGAGTAAAATGTCTCTCTTGTTTTTACCAATCAAAATTTGGCATTTTAACGTGAATGATATGTCTGCCAAAAAAGAGGTAGAACATTGTAATTCTATTTAAACTTTAGGCTCATTGCCCGTTATGTAGTCTGAAATAGGTCAATAAGAAAAACAACTTATATGTTATGCGCATTATGTATTAAAATAACATTTCTTGCTTTCAGTTGAAAAATAAATATAGTATTTTGAAAAATCAGATCTTTTTTAAATTTTTTTTTAATGGCAAGTTATCAAGGCTCGGAAAATCATTTCAGGTCAGTCAAAAGTATAGAAATAGATGGTTCATTTTGGAGTTGTGCATAGCCATCTCCTACTACTGTTTGAAACCCTAATTCCTGCCTTTCAATTGTATACTTGAACATAAATGGTGTTATGTGTGATGCCGT